AATCAAGTAGCCATTAGCTATTTATTATTAAAACACAATCACAGGCTTGGCACCTGTAGCCCAGCGGTTATGGCGCGAGCCACAAGCACCAAGGGTGGCAGGTTCAAACCCGGACCGGGCCAGTTAAACAACAATGACAACTGCAACAAAAATAGCTGTGCGTTGGTGGAGGGTACCTGTAGTCCCAGCTACTTGGGAGGCTGAAGAGAATTGCTTGAGCACAGAGTTTGAGGTTGCTGTGAGTTGTAACGCCAAGGCACCCTACCAAGAGCAACATAGTGAGATTCTGCATCAAAAAAGAACAAAAAATCGCAGATGTAAAATATCCAAAAATATATACTGCTTCAGTTTACCTAACAGTTCCCAATTCATCAAAAAGAAGTTAAATGGACTTAGAGCCTGTAACTCAGTGGTGAAGGCACAGGCCACGTGTACCTGGACTGCTGGGTTTGAACCCAGCCAGGGCCTGCTAAACTACAAAGAGAACAACAACAAGACAAAAACCAAAAATAGCTGGGCCTTGTAGTGGACGACTGTAGTCCCAGCTACTAGGGTAGCTGAGGAAAATCACTTAAACCCAAGGGTTTGAGGTTGCTGTGAGCTGTGACTCCAGAGCACCTACTGTGACTGACATAGTGAGACTCTGCCTCCAAAAAAAAAAAAAAAAGTTAAACATATAAAACACATACTCCAAATAATACACTGAACAAGATTTTTAAGAATATCCAATAGTTCCTATCTTTGTCAGAATTACTTAAATCCAAACTTTAATAGTTATTTTTATGTTATATATTATAAGCTTCTTCATGTGTTGCAAAACACAATGGATTCCATTCAAATGCACCTGCTGCTTCACAAGTTTCAAAAAACAAAATTAAACAGCACAGCCTCCATGTCAATTTAACTAACCATAACAATCATTTCCATTTGAAATCAACTTCACAGATAGGAAAATAAAATGAATAAAAGTGGAGAAATGTGGTAGACATAGACACCCCCACGACCTTTCTTAGCTATGTGTGAACTTAGAATGCTCATGCCTGTAATCCTAGCACTCTGGGAGGCTGAGGTGGATGGATGGCATAAACTCACAGATTAGAAACCAGCCTGGGCAGCGCCTGTGGCTCAAAGGAGTAGGGTGCCACTTATGGCTCATATACC